TGACTGCTCGGTGCCGCCGTGATGAGCATTCGTTCCGGTGTTAAGTAAAGCAAATAAAAGATTGACGTTCCTGCTGTTGCTAAACCTCAAATTCTCTACGGTACGAACACCGTTTCCTGCTTGTTTTAAGTATGGCAAGTTATCGTTGAAGTTGTTGTCGTGGCTAAACCTTAAATTTACAATGGTGTCAACACCGTTGCTTGATTGGTTTAAGTAAAGCATGTAAAACATTGAAGCTGCTGCTGTCGCTAAGCTTGCTCGTTTTAAGTAGAGCAAGTAAAAAATCGAAGTTGCTGCTGTCGCTAAACCCTAAAATTCTGACGGTGTTAACACCGTTACTTGCTTGTTTTAAGTAAAGCAAGTAAAAAAATTAAGTTGCTGCTGTCGCTAAACCTTAAAATTCGTATGGTGTCAACACCGTTGTTTGCTTGTTTTAAGTAAAGCAAGTAAAAGATCGAAATTGCTGCTGTGGCTAAACCTTAAAATTCCTATGGTGTCAACACCGTTGCTTGCTTGTTTTAAGTAAAGCAAGTAAAAAATTTAAATTGCTGCTGTTGCTAAACCTTAAAATTCCTATGGTGTCAGCACCGTTGCTTGCTTGTTTTAAGTAAATCAATTGAAAAAATCTTTTGCGGTGGCTTCTGCTATGTGAACGAGGACACATAAAATGAAAGGAAAAGACCTATGATTGCTGCTGTCGGACGGCAAGGTCACTGGCCAGTGGCTGAAGGGTCATCGCAAAGAAACTTGATGTAACAGCTCTGCTAGCTGTCGTAAAGCGATGGCGTGACCGCAGCCTCAGCTGCTGTGGGTAGTGCTTCTTTCTTATAAGACCTTTCATCAACTTAACGGTAGCCTACGGTCTACCGGTGTCCTCTAACGCGCGCGCCAGTGCGCGCGCGCGCGTTGTTAGAGACCGAGACTCTCGGGAGCGAAGCGCCTCTCAGGCCTGGAGGCTCTCCGGCTTCAAGTCCCCTAGGGGTAGCCCCGTTACGTCCCCGCCCTAGGCTTCCTTTAAAGAGTCGCCACGAGGACTGCACTCTAAAAGGCTTTTTTTTTGATTTTTACATGTAAATAACACAGTTCCAGCGAAGCTTGCTTTGGAACAGCATTGGAAGCTCCAGCAAACTAAGCTCTTTGAAGCTGTCTCCAAGCTTCCTCTATATGGTTTTGCACGCTCTAAACCACTAACTCCTTCTTGAAGCTTTCTAAACTTACTAGCAAGGCAAATGAGGCTGAAACCTGGAAAAAAGCTCAAATCAGGGAAGTCGGATTTTGACGACTTGCTCCGTTTCGGCTGTTATCCATATCCCCCTACATGAAATGATCTAACTAAGCCAAATAGCCGCGTTTTAAATCGATTTCGTGTAGCAAACCACTGAAAATAGCTAATTTCGTGGATCTGAGGAGGTCGAATTTTTTTTTCTTCCGTTTAAAGACCTGGCGACCATACAAGTATATATGGTTTGATCCCCTCTATCTGAATCTGCGTTCGTTTTAATAAAAAAACGAAGTTATCCAAAAAAAAATTTTCAAACCCTTAACTTGTAGGGTTTTGGATTTTTTTTTTCGGGAACCGGGATCCGGATCTAGCCGACTTGACTCGGAAGTTATGCGAACATTCGTTGCGAGCTGCGGGAGGTATTCCAAAAGTTTCATAGGTTCAAGCTCTGTCCAAAAATGCCAGAGATAGCTTTTAAAAGGCTGCGCACATTCGAAAAAAACTAAAAAACGTTCTGAAAACCGAAATTTTCAAAGTTTAGTCGGTATTATTTGCAGTTAGCATGGATTTAGACGTCGGGAATCCAAGTTAAATATTGACCGGGATCAAATCCAGCTCGAAAATGCCTTCATATCAGCTTTAAGTACTTCCTAGATGCTGAAACTTTAGACTTTTCATTTCGAGCGCGATCTTTCCAAACGAAAGTTGCTATATTTTCAAGTTAGAGGCTTTTGAAAGTTTCAACACTAGTTCAGTGGTGTAGGGGGCATCAAACCCTGTCTGAAAATGCAAGAAATATCGTTTAAACGTAAGCGTAGTCTGGAGTTTTCTTTGTTTTTCCAGGCTTTCGCTGATTTTTAATGTATTTCAGCAAGATAACAAGCTTTCAAAGCTTCAAGAAGGAGTTAGTGGTTTAGAGCGTGCAAAACCATATAGAGAAAGCTTAGAGACAGCTCCCAAGAGCTTACTTTGCTAAGGCTTCCAATGGTGTTCGAAAGCGAACTTCGCTGGAACTGTGTTATTTACATGTAAAAATCAAAAAACAAGCGTTTTAGAGTGCAGTCTTCGTGGCGACTCCTTAAAGGAAGCCTAGGGCGGGGACGTAACGTGGCTACCTCCACAGGACCTGAAGCCGGAGAGCCTCCAGGCCTGAGAGGCGCGTCGCTCCCGAGAGTCTCGGTCTCTCACAACGCGCGCGCGCGCACTGGCGCGCGCGTTAGAGGACGCCGGAAAGCACAGCATGAGCATCGCTTAGCCAAGTCGTAGCTTAAGGAACCTAGCACATGTTCATTGAAAATACCAAAGCAACAAAGACATCATGCCGACAGCCGCCACCATGCCCTGCCTCGGCGCCACGGATGAAAGGTCTTATAAGAAACAAGCACTACCCACAGCAGCTGAGGCTGCGGTCACGCCATCGCTTTACGACAGTGCATTGCCTGGTCAAGGCAACGCATTGAGCAACTGATTAAGAACATTCGAACCACATCTCTTGGCCGTGGCACACTGGCAAGCACACCTTCAACCGTGGATCTTCAAACAGCTGATCCTGCGGTCACGCCATCGCTTTACGACAGCTAGCAGAGCTGTCAAGCTTCTTTGCGATGACCGTTCAGCCACTGGCCAGGCACTTTTTCACTGCAAGCATGGGTCCTTGTCCTGCATTTTTTCTATCCTCGCTCATAGCAGCAGCCTCAATCTTTTACTTGCTGTACCTAAAACAAGCAAGCAACGGTGTTGACACCATAGGAATTTTAAGGTTTAGCAACAGCAGGAATTTCGATCTTTTACTTGCTTTACTTAAAACAAGCAAGCAACGGTGTTGATGCCACAGGAATTTTAAGGTTTAGCGACAGTGGCCACCCAATTTTTTTACTTGCTTTACTTAAAACAAGCAGGCAACGGTGTTGACACCATAAGAATTTTAAGGTTTAGCGACAGCAGCAGCTTCAACCTTTTCCTTGCCATACTTAAAACAAGCAAAGCAACGGTGTCGACACCATAGAATTTTTAAGGTTTAGCGACAGCAGCAGCTTCAGTCTTTCACTTGCTTGACTGAAAACAAGCACGCAACGGTCTCGACACCATAAGAATTTTAAGGGTTAGCGACAGCAGCAGCTTCAATCCTGCACTTGCTTTACATAAAACAAGCAAGCGACGGTATTGACACCATAAACATTTTAAGGTTTAGCAACAGCAGCAACTTCAAGCTTTTCATTGCCATACTTCAAACAAGCAAGCAAAGGTTTCGACACCATAGAAATTTTAAGGTTTAGCGACAGCAGCAGCTTGACTCTTTCACTTGCTTGACTTAAAACAAGCACGCAACGGTGTCGACACCATAGGCATTTTAAGGGTTAGCGACAGCAGCAGCTTCAATCTTTCACTTGCTTTACATAAAACAAGCAAGCAACGGTATTGACACCATTGGCATTTTAAGGTTTAGCGACAGCAGCAGCTTCAAGCTTGTCGTTGCCTTACTTCAAACAAGCAAGCAACGGTGTTGCAACCATACGAATTTTAGGGTTTAGCGACAACAGCAGCTTCAGACTTTCACTTGCTTTGCTCAATCTTTTACTTGCTGTACCTAAAACAAGCAAGCAACGGTGTTGACACCATAGGAATTTTAAGGTTTAGCAACAGCAGCAATTTCGATCTTTTACTTGCTTTACTTAAAACAAGCAGGCAACGGTGTTGACACCATACGAATTTTAAGGTTTAGCGACAGCAGCAACTTCGATCTTTTACTTGCTTGACTCAAAACAACCAAGCAACGGTGTTGAAGCCATTGAAATTTTAAGGTTTAGCGACAGCAAGTCACCGACAGGCTTCTATTTAGAACTTTTTTTTGCAGACAAGAGCAATCCCCCAGAACAGTTAGACAGATTTTAGCGACAGCAGCAATTGTAATCTTGCTTTACTTAAAGAAGCAAGCAACGGTGTTGACGTTGACACCATGAGAATTTTAGGGTTTAGCGACAGCAACAACTCGAGTCTTTCACTTGTGTTTCGGGCAATGGGTGTGTTGAAAGTGTGGATGAATGGACACAGTCCGATGTGGAAACATTGAAAGACATGAAATCGAATTCGATAGCCTTGGTTGCTATCGTAAAGCGACGTCGTGACCGCAGCTTGAGCTGGTTTGGGCAATGTTGCTTTCTTGTACATCGACAAGAACAGTGTGACTGATGTTCTCAAGACATGTATTTTCACAGCAATTGCATCGCTTTCAACCAGCCTCTGAATTACTTCCTTTTGCACAATGTTTCTTTCAAGCATGATCTTCATGTTGATTTTGACAATAGCTAAATTGACGGTTTAGGTGCCCTAACGAAATAGCAGAAGTAGTATCACGAGACGTGTGGCTCTTCACTGCTAGCTCACATAACCTGAGGACCGAACTTGCAAGCACATTCGCAGACACCAAGTTTTCCTCAGTTTCCGCAGCTTCTACACCTACGCCACAAACCGACTGCTAATATTGATTCCGGATGCTTGATACAAAGCCATCTGCCCGATACTTCGTTGGAGCAGGCCACGTGGTTCATGTCAGTGGGAGTGATTCCCGGCTGCACGAACTCCTTTCAATCAGGCACTCGCCTTCTTCCAGGACAGCTGTTTCCCAAGGCGGGCTGCAAAAGCTTCACGAGATTGCGCACGAAACTTTTGTTTGCACAGCTGTGCCCGGCAAGCTCGCTCTTCTGTTTGATATTTCGTGTAGCATTGTAACTTCAAGTTAGAGACTGTTCGCTGTGTGCTGCTCCAGCTGCTTCTCGTCATGGCATCCAACCTCTTTGACGTCGACGAGAACAAGGCATCCGAGGAAGCATCCACCCCCGCTCCGGTTCCCAAGGCAGAGCGCAGGGTGAAGCTTTACAGCTGGGACTCTGTCGCGGCCCAGTTGTTGGAACCATTCGGTGAATGCGCTCTCGACAACCTTTCGCTCGCGGAGTTGTGGAAGGCTGCCAGCGAAGGAAACAGAAAGACAGCTTACCATAGTCATCTTTGTGCCGACAAAGAAACAGACAAATGGCGAGTTGGCGCAGGGGTTTCCATGACCAGTGCCGCGCTCCTTGCAGCCATTAAACACTTGGAATCCGATAACATGCGCATGTTGATTCGGCCGGAGCTCTACGAGAAGATCATCAAAGAGGCCACCGACCTGAAGCCCTCCCTCGAAAAGCTCAACCTTGGAAGAGGCTCACAAAAGTACGACAAGACCACCGGCAGCCTAAGCCAGGCAAAGCGCCAGAAGACCGGTCACAGCTCCGTTCGCGCCCACACGGAAGAAGAGGTCATGGCCGCAGTCACGAAATTCCATGGTTGGCTGGCTCAAGAAAAATCTGCACTCCGCGGGGCGTTGTTCGTGCTGTCCGGCAGTAACACGTACTACACAGGTCATGCTGCTGAAGTGGTTGCCAGGGCCTGCATCATCCACAAGCCGTTGAATGAACAGGAGATGCGCGAGTGCATGCGCGCACGTCTGGCAAAGCCGGCCGAGGAACCAGAAGACAGCAAGCGGCCGGGCACAGACAACAACGGCCTTTTTGACTAAATTCAGAGGTTCAGTGCTGCAGATGTTGAGCTCCACAACTCTCGGACTGCAGTGCTTCCACTTTCAATCCACTTGCATCGCAGCCAATTTCAACTCGGCGTGCAGAAGTTGAACGCCAGTGGTTGTAAGCCACACAGTAGTTCTCGCACTGCACCAGCAATTCTACCTGCCAGATTCTGCGAATGCTCGCTGCAAAACCTTTGCTTGACTGCGAGAAGCAAGACTTAGACAAGGCAGCTTTGCATAGCTTTCCAAGTTAACCATTGCATGTTGCTAGCAGACGTTTGGCTCTGCCGTCTTTTGTTCTTGTTCTGTCAACATGTGGTCGTCTCTGAAGCCAGCTGCAGCTGTCATCGACTTGGACCCAAGCTCCGACGAAGAGAAGACCATCATTGCCACTCCGCCCCAGAAAGACATGACCAAGTCGAAGGACGAGAAAGACAGCCCAAAAAAGCGCATTACGAGCAAGAGATCCGTGACTTCGGCAGCTGCTTCGAAGCCTAAGTCGACAGCTTCGAAGCAGAAGAAGAACAATCGCGGGATGCACTTAGCCATCGAAAAATGGGGACCACATCAGGGCCATGGCACATGCCTCGGCACAGACGGTCCGTGCATCATGGGAAGCTTGGGCGCAGCAGCTGAAGCAGGGCCGTCCGGTTACTGCGACCTTTGCAACCTCGAAGAGCTTCCACTGCTGCACCAAGAAGGCCAAGGACGTTTAACTCATCTCCTCCTACAACTTGGTTCTGCCGAGTTTGCCGTGGCCCTCGCTCGCATCGAGACGGTCGACCCCAACATCGCCAAGGCCTGTCGCGAGAGAGTGAAGCGTGCACGAGCCAGAAAGAACCCGACGCGGCCCAAACGCGCGCCTCGGGGGCCGTACAGCAAAACCACAAAGCGTTGAAGAGCCAGCTTGCTTGTCCAAAGCACGATTTTTATATCTGGCGGCCAACGACAGTGTCGGCCCCGACGCTGGCAAAATACTTGATGCGGCTTGAAAGGAAACATCGTGCATGCACATGCTGCGAGCATTGTCGTTATTTTTTCGCAAGCTTCTTAACACCTAAGCTTTGCAGCCTCTTTCCTCATCGATCGCTTGTCTTAAGAGGGCACTCCGCTGCATCATGGCGCTGCCCACGGGATTGACGAATCTCGGAGCTTCCTGCTTCATCAATTCCTCGCTGCAGGCACTGTTGGGTGTGCCAGCACTGCGAAGCAGCCTGGCTGCTGGAACATCCGAGACCGAGCTCGCTGTGAAAACCGTACTGGCCCGCTTGCAGTCAGCTCAAGGAGACGTCGTCCCAAGAGAAGTCACAGAACTCTTCTACCATGGCAGGCAGGAAGACGCTGCGGAGTTCCTCGTAGTGCTGCTCACCGACTGCCACAGCTTGCACGGAGCTCTGCGCGGCGTGGAGGTTCCACAATTTCGGTGTCGGCATTGTCCGCACGAGCGCGCTGCGCAATCAGAGGAATTCCTAACTCTATGTCTTTCTTTGGTATCCGAGCTGCCTCTACTATCACTTCAAGAAGCCTTGAACTCTTACATCGAGCACACCCAGGTTCAACATGACTTTAAAGACTGGTGCTGCGAAAACCCCGAGTGCATTAGCGCAGATCGTGCTTTGGATCCGCCGATAGCTGCGACCAGCATTCAATCTTGGCCTCAGGTGCTCATGCTCCAGTTGAAACGCTGGGAGGACGCTGACAATGTCATCGGCCACAAAGTTCACTGCAACGACACACTGACAGTCGGTGGCCACACCTACAGACTGCAGTCCTTGGTTGCGCACATCGGAAGATCCGCGAACGCCGGCCATTATGTTGCCTACACACGTCATGGTGCTGGCTTCGTTAGACTCAGCGACCGCAATGTCAAACAGCTGGAATCAGAGCTCATCGGCGACTTCGTGTCCTTGCCGAACGAGAAGATCTACATCGCCTTCTACGTTCGTGTGCCTCCAGAACCCCTTCCACCAGCTCCCGGCCGTGCACCTGCAATCAATCTTGACACCGACTCCGACTCCGACATTATCATTGAAGAAGATCCTCGGGAGCCTAAGTCCACTGGCAAAAGACAAGCCAACTCCGACGAGTCCCAGACGAGTGTCACCAAGAAACCTCGACAGGAGCACTACACCTCAGCAGAGCTCAAGCAAATCGCCACGATCTTGAAAAATGCAAAAACATTCCCGGATGCTCTCGCACAGCTGGAGACGGACATTGCCGGCTTCACGGACACAGACAAGAATAACGTTCGTTATCTTCCCAGGACATCACTGCGGTACCAGTACCACCACCCGAGCTCCAAGACATCGTGGCCAGACGAGTCCAAGCGATACTTTCGAGTTTTCCGCCAAAGACCTTGTGTTCGAGATCTGCAGTCCACAGACAACCAAGCTGCAGCATGGGCGCAGAGGCAGTCTTGGACTTTCTGTAGCAAGTGCGGCCGACACAGGCCACGGACCCAGCCTACACCAGCAAGCAACGACATTCAATGCAGGCCTGACTGTGACCCTAGCCCGCAATCTCTACTGGTTGAGGGTCAACCCAGAGGCGGCAAACTGATGGCATACGTGACGCCAGCCGAATCACACTGGGATGACATGTTAGCAGCACTTGAAACAGACGACATCGCCAAGGGGTTGACCGCAGAGGACCTCGACAGTTTGGTAGTGGTTCGCATCTACGTCGACTACAAAACGGTGCGAGGCGGAAAAAGCGAAATCACAAGCCTTAAGAAGCAGTCCCTTGTACGAGCTGAATGGCGAGAGCAGTCTCTGCAGCAAGTTCAACGAAGCCCAGCAGGAAGCAAGGCATTTGCTTGGCTGATGGCCAACAACAGCACGTACAAGTACTTCGTCGACACCCACGCGCAGATGCACGCAGACAACGAACACGGGACAACTACGACCTGGCGAAGAATTCCTACTGCCGACCTGCTGCTCAACCGCCCCGGCATCGAGGTAGCTGCAAGACCTTGGTTGTATCCTTGGGCGAGCTACGGCGATACAGATATCAACTCTCGCTTGAAAGAGCTCCAGCTCATCAAAGCCAATGCAAAGCCAAGCTTGCGAGCAAGTTGGGAACGGAAATCTACATCTCGTTGCACCAGCTACGCCGAGGATTTTCAATTACAGAGCCTGCTCTATGACATTGCAATGGCACGCACGATCTCCACAGTCGCCAGCCTGGCAGCCTCCAAGAAGATGGCCCCAGAAGCCGTAGCCGCAGACATGGATATGTTTGAGGTGTACTGGCAGAATCAGGTCCACAAGATGGAAGACATCTGTCGACTTGAATTCGAACGACACGGATGCATGGAGAGAGCCATGCCATCAATATTCCTCACGGTAGCACCAGCCGAGTGGACGTTCCCGCTGCACGAGGGCATCTTCTTCCAAGACAGCTTATCGAAGCAGCAAACAATGCTCACTCGCCATATTTACCACGTGCTCGACACTCTACTACAAGAGCACATTCTCAAGGAAGGACCGCACCAGCAAGCACTCGGATTAGCAAGCATTCGGCAATGGTCCTTCCGCTATGAGTTTCAAGCAAGAGGCACAGTCCACATTCACTGCGTGCTCTGGGCAGACTTTCTGCCAGGTGTTACAAGCGACATGTTGGCAGGCCGCACAGGCGAGCAGCATCAATCGCTGCTTGTCAAGCGACTGGAGGAGCTGTTCAACTGCCGCGTGGACGTTCAGGCCGGGAATGGTCATCATAACATGATGCGGTACGTCATGGGCTATGTCCAAAAGGCCTCGGATGCACTTTCCTTCAGGTCGTCCGAAGCCCGCAGTGAAGGCCAAACTCCGAGCACCTGGAGAACCACGTACCGTCTGCTATGCAAAAAAGCTCCCTTGGAACAAGAAATGACCATGGAGTTTGCAGGCCTCAGCATGGTGCGACACTCGTTCCAAGGAGCCAATTACTATGCGCCCATCCCCGGAAGCGATGCTGTGAATGTAAGCCGGTCCGCTTACAATGCATTCCAGCAAGGACTTCGTGAAGGCCGCTACAGTGCCCAGAGCTTCTTGGCTTGGCTGCGGGATCATCGCATTGAACCTCTGCCAAAGAATGCTTGCAAGGTCACTCCGAGAGTAGGCTCATCAGGTAAGCAACCGAAGAAGGACGTTGGAGTGGCCATACAATTCCCCTTTGAACTCCTCGACATATTCATCGGGGCATGGGCTGCTACGTTTCTACCTGAAATGGACGAGCGCCGGCTGCTCCCATGGAGAAACCATGAGTATCCCAATGGCTACCGTGTAGAGCAAATTCGGCAAGACAGTTTCGAGGCACCAGAAGGATGCCGGCACCTCAAGGCTGTCCTGTGCTTGGACGACTTCCAGCTCAACTCGAATTCCAGTGACTTCGCGCCAGATGTAAACAAGTTGATCACTGCCATCGAGCCAGATCTTCTGCTACGAGGACTGTCAAGTGACAGGATCACTACATTCAAGGCTCGCGTGCACTCTTGTGCTCTGCTCCTCCAAAAAGTTTACAAAGGAGAAGAAGATCCACGAACATGGAGTGCTCGACGCATATTTCAGCCACCACAGCGGGCATGGTCGAGGGAGCAACAAGAAGTCCTCACGGCGATTGCAGAAGGCGTCAGCGTCAGCGACGCCCATGCTGTCAGAGACGGCAACAGGCTGCTTCATGTCAAGGGTGGTCCGGGAACAGGAAAAACCGAAGTCATTATCGCGGCGGCGCAGCGGGCCTTGGACGACAACTGCCGCGTTCTCATAGTGGGCCCCATCGGCTTATTGGTATCCTCCTACCGCACCAAACTAGCTCCTTCGCCAAACCTTACCATGGAGACGCTGCACGCCAGCTTCAAGGTAACACGGTCGGCGGACGAGCAGTACGTGCCGCCGGGAAGATTGCGATCCTATGACCTCATTATCATGGACGAAATCTCCCAAATTGATGCCCACGTGTGGCGGATCCTTCAAACAGCTTTATCTGAACTCCATCCTCAACCATTCGTGGTT